ATAACATTAAAATAATAAAAACAATAAATTATAACACATGCATGATGGCCTAAGTAGAGAATACCGTAAATATATCGAAAGAAACAAAATACCTGTTTGTTTGCAATACAATTATTTTTTTATTTCATACCATTTTTATCATCAGTTTTTTTTAAAACAGTAAATACATTTGTTGAATACAATGTTTATTTATATTCATTTCATTTCATTTTTTTGTAATTTTCAATATATTACATACATTAATTAACAATTTATTTTTATAGTTTTGCACACCAAAAGGTTAAAGATAAAATGGTTTTGTTAAACGTCCTATTCTCTAGTAAAATAATTTATTTTTCTTGGCCCAGACGGAAAAAGGACAGTTTATCTGATATGGGTAATCTGTTTTCACCTGGTTTGGGGGAAAAACGTGGTCGGTTTACACAAATAGCGTCTATCATCCGTTATTACTTATTATATCTTTATTTATATGGATTTTTAAGAAAATCATGTAACAAAAACTGTGAGAATTTAATACAAGTAATACAACTAATTTACAACTCGTTAATATGCAGTAGTTTTAGATTTTTAGGGCTTCCATTGAAATTAATTTAACAAGATTTGAATAAAATCTGTATCGTAATTAACTATTAGTTGATGTCTGTGTGATAAGTAAATCGGATAAAATTAAAAGCAGCTTAAAGGTCGAATGAAAATCAAATTTAAAGACCCAAAAACTTTTTAAAAGAGATTTTACTCACGAGAATATAAAATAATAATCTATATAGTTTCAGAATGATATAAAAACTTTAATCTAATTTTTGGGTAAACTTAAAGAAAATCCATACGACAGTCTCTTTGACGATGTATTAAAGAGAAAAATAAAACGCCAAACTCATTAAAAATGAAGTTTTTAAATAATTAAATCTTTGGGTATCTGACAAAAAATAATTGAAATAAAACTTATCAAACGAATTTGATTTAAAGATATTACACATCAGTAATTACTGTTAAGAGTATAAATTATAAGTTATGGTCAAGAGTCACGGGATATGGCCCATGGATGCTTATATAATAATAACTGCATAAATAAGAGGCTTTAAAAATATGAATTTTATCTTAGAAGTTAATACATTTAAATAAAATTAGTTATAACAGTGATATATGAACAATTAATCTTTTGATACCTATAACATTTTTAAGTTTCAATAATTAGTTTTCACAAGAAATATTCATTTGTATTTAATTAAAGGTTATTAATTAAAAGTTGATTATATTTTGACATAAGTACCTGTATAAAGTATAAATTGTATTTATTCAATACAAAATTAAATTATGTAGAATGCAATTTATGATATTCTATTTTGGAATTGTATATCTAGAAATCTGTAAAGGTTTCGATTTGAATGTCGTACAAATAATGTATGCAACATGATTCATAATTTGTTATAAAAAAATAGTTACAACTTTATGGTATAAATAGAGATAGCGTAAACAAAATCGTTTGACATCTAATGAATAAATTGATCGATAAATGGTAAGTAGCAAATATTTTTGGCATGTTTAAGGTTTTGAATTTAGGTTCAGTCAATATTTTTTGTATTTTCCTATACATTTTGGTGTAATATTCAAGGCACGAATTTACGGCATTTTGACGAGACCGCAAAACCCTTATAGCTTTACCAATAAATAGAGTAAAAAAAACACAAACACAAGACAATAGAGGTACATTTTAAACTTTCGGTTAAAGTTCGTTTTTGCGGTTCTCTTGAATAATATATGAAGTTTGCCGACGTGGTAGAGGGCTTGACGTGTATTATTGCCGACAATGACTGATGCCCAAGGTGCCTTATTACCTACTTGTGACACAAGCTTGTATAACAGTAATAATGAGTTAGTAGACTATTCTCTTCGACACATACCTCACCCTATATATCATTCACGTTTGGCACGACCGATATTATGTGATGGCTTGTATTGAATGAGACAGTTTGATGCAAATACGCAGGAGGGTTAGAACATTATGAAGGATTTTATAATATAAGTATAAACGATAAAAAAAATAAAAAAAAAAACAACCGCAGTTTTTCAAATCAATAAACAGTATACATTTTCAGAGGGAGTAACTGGTATTCAATTTTATTTTTCAAACTGTTTCTTTCTCTTTTATAATATAAGTTGATCAATACAATTAAAAATACTACCGAACCAATACGTTTGCTTTATATTTTAAATAAATGTAATTATTTTTTCAACATCGTTTAAGCAATATACACTTAAAAAACAAATTTACATATTACACCATTCACTAATATTTAGGGTTAAATCAATCGAATTTGAATCAAAGCGCACATTACAATACGTCCACTTGCTCACATTTTACAATACAAACAAACACGGTTGAAGTGAACCCAGAACCGCATATATACATAATGTATAACGTTGTCTAGTTAGTGGCCAAAGGATCTTTTGACGACTGATTAAAAAGCAACAAGTAGAACTATTTGTTATCTTTGTTAATTTACAACCAGCACCAGGCTGTGAGTTTAGCGCAGCGAAATGGTTTGGTTGTGTAAACAGCAACAGAAACAACAAACATAATACGATCGATCAACGCGAGCGACCGCCCGCGCACATGGCACATGTGGGATTTAGCGTGCGCCACCACCAAGACGAAACGATATATAATCACGGAGTGAACATAAAAATAACAAATCCCTCGTTTTATGTGGAATTTCACGACGGAAATCATTACACACAGCACGGTAAAAATAATAACAAATAACACACGTACACTCAGATATGAAATAACAAGGGGCAAATGGGAGGGATGGGAGGGAAGGGCTTAAAAATGTGTGGCCAGGGACGAGGGGAGCTAAGTAATAAAAGTTTTTCCCTTAAACGGATTACCGACGATGATGGATTACGCATGGGAGGGAGGGGGCCCTGGTGGTGGTATATATGACTGGATTCCAAAAAACAAATACAACTTGATAAATTTTACACGTTCTATACCGACACATTGGCCGAAAATCTGTCTAGCCCGATTGAACACGTCCAGAATATTTCATTGAAACTTTTTAGTAACGGCGATAACTGGTAGAGAAAACGATCATAAATCGGCTAAATCTGTTTGGTAACATAAAACAAGATATGCTTTGAAATAACAATAAATAAGTCTGGAGTCATAAATCCTCCTACCTATACTGGCTACTTGTATACCATAATCGACCCAAATAGCTAATCTAATATATATAACAAAAAATAAAAGTAATAATTTAGATACAAATAATAATTGCTAAAATTATAAATCACGAACATTGTTACGTTTGGATATTATACTTTCGTCAGGCTATAATTATTATAATTTCAAACCAAAAATAAGCATGCTATTATAATGTGAATAACTTTATTATTTTGCAACTAAAAGAACTTTCCTGTTTAATTTTGATATTCATTTTAGCACAGCTCAATAAGCAAAATAACATTTTAGGGGAAACCTCGTTTGATCTACAAAATGAAGGATTTGTGATCGTGAGAAGTAACTATAGTTTAGAGAAGTGCAAATATTTAATATTAATTTAATATTCTAAGACACTTAGATGGTTTTATATAAATAAATAAATTAATGGAAATTATGATCGAACCCCTTCTATAGCAAACATAAGTAGGTAGGTATTAAATATTAATAATGCGAATATTAAGCTGTAATTATACATAGTATTATATAGGGATCATAAATAATAACGAACATTCCTTTTTGTTGCCTGAGTACAGCTTTTTAACGGTTATAATATAGATTAACTTGTGCATTTTTTAGACGTTTATTTAATGCGAATGTTTAAACATTTTTTTTCCACATGGTTTGGAGGCATTGAAAAAATCATACTTCAAACTTCGTTTGAGTAGGTACACAACGGAATACTATAGAAACGAATCTTAAAAATTAACGTATAACTTATAAAAATATAATTATAGTAAATTGATTTATGTATTAGTCGTTACCCTGCCGTGCACGTATACATAATATACGAGTATAGTAAACACGACATATACACAACAAACAAGTAACGTATAAATCATACAACTTTTATGCTATGCGTAACTTGTTTTTTTTTTCGACACACGAATCGCAGACATTTTCTTAAATTTATTTTACTTTCAATCCTTGTAAAATATCAAACGGTTAAATACATGCGCACCTTTCATATTAAAATATCGAAGCGTTTATAAAACGTGTGAGACAATATTTAAGGATGAACTGCAGCAGACCTTACGCATTTGTGTTACGAGGGGGTTTTCCATTCAACGTTTTTTTTTTTACTTATATTATAATATATAGTGTGTATCACGGATAGTTGACAGTTGTAAACGCAATAACAATGTTCGACTGTCAACTGCTTGCGTTACACACCCTGTACAAATACAATTGTATGGTCTTCACTTCTCTATGTGCAATCCAGACAATATTATTAACGTCGATTCAATAATATAATATGTATATATATACATAGGTACGCTTGCATAGCAGTTCCTATCTATTCATTTTTCATAAGAGCGCGTTTAAAAAATTTTAATTTATTATTACCCGACTGAACAATAAACGTTCGGGTGGAAAAAAAACTGACCTTATCGAATCGTTACGAAAGCCATAATGCTTTTCTCCGGCATTGTTAACTGTCACGGACGTCAATCAAAAAACGCCGCCCCGGTCTGCGGGGCCTTTATGTTTGACACATGTTATAAACTCGACCGACAAGGCGGCGAAACGCGGTTTAGCTGACGGTTTGTTTCAATAAATCTGTCACGTGGCCTGTCAGCATCGATTTGAACTGCTATTGGATGAGTGGCGGTGTGTGTGTGTGTGTGTATGTGTGTGTGAGTGTGTATGCATGTGTCTGAGTAGAGAAGGAGAATTAACGCATACGCGGATTTCGACGGTGATATGGGTATAGCCGGATAGGTGAGAGGACGAGGGACAACAACGCTAACGAAGGCTTGGAATGTCTCAAGTTATTTACCTGTGCTCTCAGTGTTATGGACGTCCGGGCAAGCTTGAAACTTGAGCATCAACCTCGAGTCTGACGTACACGAATCGGCTTTTGAAACCGGCGACCTGTAGAACAAACAATGAGTTTTAGTAATAATTGCTAAAATTATCTAGCAATCGAAGCACGCCGTACGACGTAATTCGTTTGACGGATTATTCGATTCACTGTATAGTCTGTGATGAAATGTATCCAAATACAATATACTTACGAAGTATTTAGTACCTACATACTATGTATAATGTATATGATATGAGTAACTTGAATAATTTAACAATAATGTAACATATTGTAATGTTTGGTGTATGCATCATTATTTTTTAATGATAAATGACGAATTGTCTGTCTTTCATAATGTAAATATTAATTTCCTTAAAATACAAAAAAAAATGTGTCCAAAAATTTGATCACATATACCTTGGCATAATATGTAATAAAGCTGACGAAATAAAATAATCGTTTTACTGGCACCGATTACAAAATATTTGTACATTTTTTATTGAAATTTCAGCAGGTATATGCTATTTATTTGAACAATTCGTAACGGTTTGAATATTATATCACATATCACAGTAACATATACTGTATGTTTATGGTATTTTATTTAGGCAATCATGAGTCTGATAATAATACTAACATTATTTAAGGAACTATACGTAAAACAAGCCAATGGTCAAGTCATTGAGGCTTTCTTCTTTAATAAAAAAAAATAATACTACCTGTGTACAATTATTGATAATAATTTTAACATAACTTTTTACTTTAGTAATATATTATTGGTGAAACGAGTTATAGAAGTTAAACTGATATTTAAGTAGCTCCAATTTATTGTAGTTAACGATTTTATTACTTTGAAAAAATGTGCTAAATATAATAGACACAGGTCAAGAACGTATTTCTGGAGCATATCATATGTTATTGGTGAGCATCGTGATGTATTTAGGTACTGTATTCGCAATTAGCACTTCGTTAATAATAATAATGATTCATTGATTCAATAAAGAAACAAAAATCTACCTTCCAGATAACCAACTAATATATATTACAATATATTTTTACATAAAGTTTACTCACTTGCATTCGGTGTAACCACCACGGCTATACGAGAAATGAAACGGCGCTTGAAGCCCATCAAACGGGCACGGGATCGGAGTGGCATCTACCCTGAACATCGAGTAGAGCGGAGCGTCACTGGTAATCTCTCCGCACAGTTCGTCGAGGCTGCGTTTTTCGCATATTGCGTCTGAAACATAAAAGGAAATATTTATGAGCACAATTCTTTCGGAAACACTATGTATTGGAAACAGACAAATTGATTAAGAAATTCTTTATACGCTTGTATAGTTATTGCGTTTCTAAATCGAACGAAATGCAATACATATTTTCATGTATACGATACATAATATGCTTAGCTCCAAGCTCACGCGTTCTCAAATTGAAAAATACGAGTCTGCGTTTAGATTAGAGATATGACTTTATGTAACGCAGTAATAGAGATAAATGTTAGAAAAGCGCTATTGAGGTTGTACACAACAACACAAATAATGTTGTACTGCAGTAGGTACATTTCGTGTAAGTCAGTTTGCTTAAATCTTGATATACGATCGGTGATTGTTTTGAAGCAATAGTTTTGATGGATCGTCGAGAGAATAAAAAAATAATGGTCAATATGTACGCACAACTCGTATACACGGTAAACACATTTAAAAAGGAATTATTGTTTCAGAAGTCTCACTTTGGTTCTTGTCGTTTATACTGTGTTCGTGGTTTAATAATTATGCTCGTTATCAAGCGCGTTTAATAACTTTTTTTAAGTGTATAATATAATATTACGTATATTATACTTCGAGCATTGAAGTATTTACACAGTTATGTACTTAATGCTCACGACGATGTTAATGATATATTTGTCTTGCACTACATCCCGCATATGGCACATCTCCTTCATTATAATTATTAATATACAAAGTAGTACGTATACTATTATATATATATACATAGGCACTTATGTCTTGTATACGGTGTCCCGATTTTTATCATGAATACGGTTTATATATTATATACTCACTCATCACTTTAGTCATTAGTCAGCCTATATAATTTACATAACGATTTCATTCATACATATATACCACTGGTTGCGGATAATACTAATATAATACTTATATTATATATATATATATATTGTGTACGATGTACCGCCAGCACACTCGAGTAATGCTTTCCGTTCACGATTTATCGGAATAGAAAAAAAAAAAAAAAAGAAGGACGTTTTATCCTAGCAGGGGGCGGGTATAGCGGATAAAATACGGGGACAGTTATACGCATATACGCGGGGGACCTCATATATCGATCGTAATGCAATATTGCGAGTCGGGCGACCCGAAGCACTTCCGTTAAACGTCTCGGGACACGGAACCAATATCATTATACGGTGTGTGTGTGGTGGGTGGAAACGCGATTCCGGGATCAGCCCGTTTCGTATTCATTTCCTCGCCGCGTGTGTGCAGTACGCGAGCAGACGAACTAAATTATTAACGCGCGACGATAGGGTTTCCACTCTTGACTCCGTGTGTGCGTGCGTCTTACAGCGCGTACAGCGTATACCAGACGTATGGTAGGTGGTTACCGCACATTATGCGCATCGCAGATAGGCGATACGGGCAGTTTTGCAGCAGCGAACTAGTTATAGGACCACTGCAGCGTCGAGGAAACAGTAGGTATACAGTATGGTATTGTTGTTTACGTGCACTTTGCGTTCTTGTTATAGACTGTAAAATTATCACGAAAAAATCAACTCAAACTGTGGGCGGTAAGTATATAATCATCGGGTCGCACTAAACCGAAAATGCAAAAGAAAGTATACAATGTTTTTTAAAAGTTTTCTGTCTAAACGCGTGTATTTTCTGACTTCCGGCGGGCACTGTGACAAAGATTAAAGTTGCGAAATATCCTCTACGAGGTTGTTAAAAATTTGCGTTTTGTCGCAAACGTCGACGCATTTCAAAACTAGTCAAATTATGAAGTTTACGCCCAAGTGAAATAACGATAACCATAACGATAGGTATTAATAACACAAACAATGGTATATTTGCAAATTGATGTTTATACCTAATATGGGTGGTATAATATTATAATATATAATGTACTGAATTTAAAAACAAAAGTGTTTAAACTTTTATCGACCGAGAACCGTATATAATCGACTAGCGGGTAAATGCAGCGTTTTTACAGACCAGAGTACTGCAGGTTATTTTAGCCCTATTCTGATAATTCCTGTTTATCTAGATATTATGTGCAATTCGACTATTAAATTCAGTATAATAATCTTCGTCGGTCGGATGCATTGTCGGTGGTCACTATGTGTTACGTATACACACACACTTATACTATTTTACAATAGGTAGGTATATAATTTAACAGGCTAGGTTTCCATGCTAGTCACGACGGCCGGAAATAATAATACCTAATAATAATAATAACCACGAAAAGCCTCTGATTATTGTTATTGTGCGTGCGTACACAGCAGTACATGAAAATACGTATATACATGCATTATATATTTTATATATATATATTGTGTGTTGTATATGTATAATGTATATAAGGTGCGTTTTGTGAGCGTGCGAAAACTCCGAGGCGCTTTCTGAATTTCAGTGATTACCGGAACACAATTAGGGTAGGGGGTTGAGCGAGTGGTGGTGGCTCATGTAGAAAAGGGGTAGGGGGAGTTTTTTTCTTTCTCACTGAAAATGAAATTTGCCGCACACATGACACGAATTGACAACGTGGACCCTAGGGGGTGTGATGTTCCGAGGGACTGTACGGGAGAGGCCGAGAGAAAAAGTTTTCGACCGCTCCACATAACCAAACAGACGTAAAAATTGGACGGGGGAGTGAGAGAGGGGTAAACACACTTCAGACAACTTTGCCCGGGCAGGACGGTAGCTGTACGGAGGAAAACCATGCGTGTTACATTAAACATCACTCAAGTAAAGCGTAAAAGTTTGGTGACCGTCGTCGTAATTGTAAGTCGCTTTAAGTCAAAATTCCGCGAATTCTCAAAGTTATATTTTATAAGGTTTTTTCTTCGAAGGCTGTTTAAGAAAATTAGAAAAATGTATTCACGAGGATAAAAAAATTGTTTCAAAGTACGACAAATATATATCATCTTATAAACGTCAGCAACGTTCTTTGCGAATATAAAATAAAAAATATGACAGGAAATGTAAAGCTCCGTTATCTCGTAACTGCCATTTGGCACGTTCTCTTTCGCTTATTGACCGACTATGTGATAAATAATACATACAGTTTAATACAATTATAATTATTACAGTTAAAATGTAAAATAAAAATAACATATGATTTATATTGAATTGATAAAAAAGTATAATATCATGTTGTGTTTTAGTTATTTAAAAATACAATTTTTAAAAATTATTTGAATAATATTACGATTTATAATTATTAAGTTTGTATAAAACGATTCCCGTGGATAAATAAATAAATTATTATCTCACATATTTTAAGCATGCAGAACAACATCATATGTATAAAATATTTTGTGGTGATATTGTCAAGTGCAAAACGCGACATTTTCATTGTGGGTGTGATTTTAATATGCATCTCAAAACTTAAATGTCACGAGAAGAGTTTCATAAAAATATACACTTTTTATGAATTTGAGTGAACGATTATACTTTATTAAATAATTTTTTTATTTACATAACCTATGTAAACTGAACAAGAATATGTTGGTTTAGTGGATATTATAAATTAGTTTAATATGAATAATATTCATATTTTGACATGTACAAATGGAATATTTCCAACAATAAAAATATATTAAGAATGAACTTCTTATATTTTTTGTGTACAGACTTACAATCAAGGTGAAAAAGGCAATAAAATACTTTGATGTTTAAATTTTCGAAAAAAAATAAAAATAAACCCATATTAAAATGAAAAATTGTAATAATAATTTAAATTTAGTATGCCGAAAATAACAAATGTACGCATAATTTGTAATTTATTATTAATGAAAAATATTATTATTATTTTTTTGATTTTTGAAACTTGAAATTCGTTTACTATATTATTATATGACCATTATACAGTACGTGTACCGTCATCCATCTGTACGTAACACGAACGATTACATAGAAATAAATACAGTTTCATTAGTTGAAATACCTAATAAAAACCGAAGAGATTAACGTTGCAGGCAATGGTTTTAGTTTAAGTATATTGGATTGTCGTTGTACAATCGAATTTCACGCGCAATGTTTTCCGGATGAGTGAAATAAATGGATAGACAGAAGAAAACCAGTGTCGCATTACAATCATCCATTAGCAATGGACATGAACACTTTCGGGTTTTTTTTAACATTGTTTTTTTTTTTTTTATTAGATTTAAAATTATTTATTTAGTCTGTGTTTTTTTCCGTCACGTTTTTAGGGTACACGACACAACTATCTGCTCAGCAGTACATTCTGATCGGTTCTAAATGATCAATGGTATTTTCCATTTTGTCATGCGTAAAGCGCTACACGCTGTGCCCTTCGATTCCATTTATAATTAGTTGTATTATAATTCACAGTTATCATCAAAAAGACACGATTGCAACGGTTCGCTTTGCTATATTATTTTATAGCTGTGTTCCGAACGGAGGGCTAAATTGCAGTCACCTGACTGTTCTGCTGTTATATAATATTTTATAAATTCAAAATTGTATACATCACAGTCATCCACCGTATGCCAGCCATGATTATTAACAAAATAACAACACCAATGTGGCATTATTATAGTATTAATAATTATTATACATCGTGGTGAAATTTGTTTTATTTTACTTCCAAGCGTTTTTCGAAAAATTATTTTTTATTTTAGTGAAATTAACTCACCAGCTCGGAGTAAGTACTTCATATAACAGAAACACGATACAGTTTATACATATTAAATAACACTTGAATATAATGACATTCGGTACAATTTTCGTTATCAGGTATATGGTGTTATTAAAATAATAACAAAACACGAAATGAAACGTATAGTAAATTCCATGCTTGAATGATGAAGATGGGCACACACATTATCGAGTAATAATAATAATAAAAACGAACCATAAAAGTTAGCAAAAAAAAAGATTTCTATATATAAATAATTCACAAGTGGACGTTACTTTTTTCCCCCTTTATGGCTATTATACGGTAATTACTATTCCTTATGCTTGGGCGGATTTT